CTGTTCATATCTGACCAGAAAATGTGGGAGATTGCTCTCTGGGGACCCTGTGGCATAGGGGCTGCCACTCCATGAACCACAGTGGTTGGGTGTGGAAATAATTACAAGTTTTTGCTTGTAAAAGCCTATAGCTTTGTGTGGGGCAGCCTCCCATGCTGCTGAAACCCTGGGCATAGGTCTTACCTTCTCCTTCAGGTTGTCCCTGAGCTTGGAGAAGAGTGAAGACACTTGTCTGGATAAGGGGATGGGGAGTGCCCTGTCTGACCTTGATCAAGTTAAGCATTGCTGGTAATATAACAGGAATGAAAAAAAATCTGTATCCAAGGAGAAAATGGCACTTGTGGAGTTCTATGGTCAAACGTGGGGCTAACTGAGGAAAAAAGATGGATGAACCATGTAGTTCATACTGCGATGTAATATGTCATTTATATTGCAATGGAATATGATGGTGTAGTCAAAGGTCTGAAAGGTTTATGGTTTGATATAAAGCATTCAACTTGCTGTAAACCTGGGAATAAAAATAACTTAAGTGCATGCTGTAAATGAATTGTGAAAATACACATTCAGAGAAAAACTGTTTTTCATACCAGCCAGACCATGCATAGTTTCTAATGCAATTAATCCTTTCCAATGTTTGTTTCTAACAAAAGTAATTTAAAAATTCTGAGTGGAAACATAGAGATTTTATTTAATGACTTGCATATTGACTGACTGATTGTGACAATGAATTATATGGGGCTTTGTCACTAGGAGTCTGCAACAACAAGATAAGGCAATAATCTTCTATTTCTATGCTTGTGGGCACAGGGTTTGGATTTTGATTTTTTTTTTTTTTTTTAATGGCTTATGCAAAGGTGCATGATTCATTAATAGGTTATGAAGAACTGATGATATTAGGGTCTTTTTACTAATAACAGGACGCTATTCTGTAAGTTTTAGTGTTTTCCAAAGTCAGACTCTCCATTCAGGCATGTCTCAAAAGTAATTTAATAGCAAAGATATTGATCAGTGCTCTAAATCTCTCTGTAGTAATTTTCATGCCCAAGAGACTAGATGATTTCTGGTATAGGTTTGAAAATAAGTTTTCTTATTAACCATAAAGTAA